CCCCCCTTGTATACACACATCCCTTACAAAAAAAAAAAGAAGAAGAAAAATGCATCTGCACCCCATCACAGATACCCCCCCAACCCCAGCACCCCCGACCCAGACCAACTCCCCCATCCCCCCACCAAAACCAACATTTTATTGCAGATTCGGGGGCCTCTCGCCAAGCGCAGAACGACCCCGGTTTAAAAAAAAAAAATTCTGGGCGGTTTTCTGTCCTGCCCGGTTTACCCGGGCGGCCCACCCGGGCCCAACCGGCTGGGCCCAGCCCGGCAGGGCAGGCCCGGCCAGGCAGCGTCTTCACTCAGGATCTAATTTAATATTATTATATATTATATGTAAATCATGTATAGATTTTTCTGTGAATAAAAAGTTTGATAGAAAAATATAAAATTCAAAATAGACTTCCTCCTCTTCCTCTTCTTCTTCCTCGTGCTCATTTACAAGGGCTTGATTTTATGTCGAAACATCACATGCTCGCAGATGTGGTTCGTCTTCCTCCTTCCTCCTCCCCTTCTTCTTTATTGTTCCTCTTCCTCTTCCTCCTCCCTCCTTTTCTCCTTCCTCCTCCTCTTCCTTTTCCTTCCTCCTCCCCTTCTTCTTTATTGTTCCTCTTTATCTTCCTCCTTCCTCCTCCTCTTCCTCCTTCCTTCTCCTCTTTCCTCCTCTTTTTGCTTTTCCTTCCTCCTCCCCTTCTTCTTTATCGTTCCTCTTCCTCTGCTTCTTCCTCTACCTCCTTCCTCCTCCTCTTCCTCCCCTTCCTCCTTCCTCCTCCCTCCTCGTCTTCCTCCTCCTTCCTCTTCTTTTTATCGGTCCTCTTCCTCTGCTTCTTCTTCCTCTTCCTCCTCCCTCCTCCTCTTCCTCCTCCTCCTTCCTCCTCTTCTTCTTCCTCCTTCCTCCTCGTCTTCCTCCTCCTCCCTCTTCTTCTTCCTTCTTCCTTGTCCCCTTTGTCTTTATCGTTCTTCTTCCTCTTCCTCTTCCTCCTCCTTTCTCCTCTTTTTCTTCCTCTTCTTCCTCTTCTTCTTCCTCCTCCTCCTCTTCCTCCTCTTCCTCGTCTTCCTCCTCCTCTTCTTCTTCTTCCTCCTCTTCTTCCTCCTCTTCGTCTTCCTCCTCTTCCTCCTCTTCTTCCTCTTCTTCCTCCTCTTCTTCCTCCTCCTTCCTCCTCCTCTTTCTTTTCCTTCCTCCTTTGCTTCTTCTTCCTCTTCTCCTTCCTCCTCCTCTTCCTTTTCCTTCCTCTTCCCCTTCTTCCTCTACCTCCTTTTCTTCTTCGTCTTCTTCTCTGCTTCTTCTTCTTCCTCCTCCTCTTCTTCTTCCTCTCCTCCNTCGTCTTCTTCTCTGCTTCTTCTTCTTCCTCCTCCTCTTCTTCTTCCTCTCCTCCTCCTCCTCCTCCCCCTTCCTCTTCCTCTTCCTTTGTCTTCCTTCCTCTTCCTTTGTCTTCCTTCCTCTTCCTCTTCCTTTGTCTTCCTTCCTCTTCTTCTTCCTCTCCTCCTCCTCCTCCCCCTCCTCCCCCTTCCTCTTCCTCTTCCTTTGTCTTCCTTCCTCTTCCTCTTCCTTTGTCTTCCTTCCTCTTCCTCTTCCTTTGTCTTCCTTCCTCTTCCTCTTCCTTCCTCTTCTTCTTCCACCTCCTCCTCCTCCTCCTCCCTCCGTCTTTCTTCTTGTGTGTCCCTGCTCCTTCCTCTTCTTCTTTCTTGTTCTTCTCCTTGTCCTCCTTCTCCTTCACCCCCTCACCCACCTCAAGTATTTGTGTGTGTCCCTGGTCATAGGTGCTCGGTGATTCTTCTTCTTCTTTTCTTTTTTTTTTTTCTGTTGTTGCTCCTGGCTCATCTTTTCTTTTCCCCAAAGATGGCCTAACAGCCATGCTCGTCTTTCTTCTTGTGTGTCCCTGCTCCTTCCTCTTCTTCTTTCTTGTTCTTCTCCTTGTCCTCCTTCTCCTTCACCTCCTCACCCACCTCAAGTACTTGTGTGTGTCCCTGGTCACAGGTGCTCGGTGATTCTTCTTCTTCTTCTTCATGAATTTCCTTTTTTTTTTTCTGTTGTTGCTCCTGGCTCGTCTTTTCTTTTCCCCAAAGATGGCGGAACAGCCATGCTAAGGGGGGCACAGAAGCAAGTAGCAGGTGAAGAGCAGATAGCTCTGAGGGCTCTATGGATTTGCTTGTTTTATCTGTTGTTGCGCCTGCCTCATCTTTTCTTTTTCCCAATGATAGTGGAACAGCTGTGCTAACGTTCCAAATTTAATGAATGTCCCAAGGGATGTTTGTGCATGCTGTCCCTAACGTAACGGGTTGTCATGTGTTATTGCCAACTGCAGCTGCGGGCTACACCATTCTTCAGAGCTTTACACAGGGCACTTCGTGCGTCCAATTACTTCGTCCTTCTGAAGGTATGCACAAATGAGACTTGATTTGCAACAGAGGGAACTTCACAAATGGTGTGGTGTCAAGCCATGTCCACCATCTTATAGTTCGCATGTGCCACCAACCTGGACCCGGAGTTGTCGCTTTCCACAAGAAGCTTCAGTCCTCAGATATACTTTCCCAACCGTTGGTGTATTGTTTCTTGAACCTCTTTATTTTCACATGGCTCCCTCCTGCGTTTACCAAAATGGTAATCCTTCCCCGGAGTCTGTGCCAGCATGGGTCAGCCCCCACCATCCTGTCGTTGGGGTGTCTTTACAGCTGCAAGGAAAATGAGCAATAGCGAAATGACAGAAATCTAGATTGCAAATTCACATTGAAAGCCCGATAGTCGATCACTGTCCAGAAAGCAGAGATGCATTGAAATGCCACCGAAGGAGAACGAAAGCAGTGAACTCAATTGTCCATGAAAGCAAGTTCTCGCCATCACCACATATGCAATCGAAGCTCTGCATCCTATCTGCACTCAGCGCCCAGACTACTTCCTACAGCTACTATCCCATACTACCAAATGACGACGCAACCCATTGACGTCAGCAGCAGTGACCAAAGTGCAAGCAGATGTCGACCATGTAGACCATCGCGCAGACCAGGTACGTGCCCTCACATCACCATCCTCATCTCTCTCTCTCTCTTTCTCTCATCACCTGCCCCATACGCAAAGACCACCACCACCTCTGCTGACCTCCCAAGCTGGAGCCCAGCTATGGCGCTGCCTCGGTGCAGCGCCCTTCCTTCCCGACGCCCGCATGCACCTGGCACTTGTGCTAGCGCTAAGCATGCAGCCGCGAGCTCCTGCTCCAGCAGCGCTGCTGTCGCATACCGTAACGGTGCAGACCAGAACAAGAACAGACCTCTCTCACATAGTACAGGATAGCGCAGCGGAAGGCTAAAATACCAATGATCAGACCAATCAATGTCGCAATGCAGACCAATCATACATCATCATCATCGCAAGGTGTGAA